GAATTTTCATGCTCTGCATGTTTTCAAGGCAAATTGATTATTAAGTCATCACAAAATAAAATTAAGATTGAATCTCCATTATTTTTAGAATATATTCAATGTGATATATGTGGATCAATTCCACCATTTAGATATTTTATGGTTTTAATAGATGCATCCATAAAATGGTCATATATATATATATATATATTATCTATTCGAAACTTGACATTTTCAAGATTGTCAGCTCAAATAATTCAATTATAAGCATAATTTTTAAATTACGCTATTAAAACAATTCACCTTAATAATACCGGTAAATTTATCTTCTAAGTATTAAATGATTATTGATTAGCCATTAGAATAAAGGTTGAATTAATCGTTGCTTATGTTCATACTTAGAAAGGTTTAGTAAAAGCATTTATCAAAAGGATCCATTGATAGCTAAACCATTATTTAAAAACAAAACTCCTTGTTTATGTTTGGGACATGTAATATTACATGCAACAACACTTGTTTGCATTAGACCCATAAGTTATCAAAAATTCTTCCTCCTTCAATTGGTTGATAGTCATAAGCCAAATATTTCTTATTTAAGAATTTTTAGCATTGTAGTATATATCCGTAATGCTCCTCCATAACGAAATAAAATGAGCACTTAAAGGGCATTGAGAATATATGTTGGATTTAAATCCTCTTTGACAATTCAATATCTTGAACCATGAATAAGAGATATTTTTACAACTTGATTTATCGATTATTATTTTGTTGAAACAATTTTTTCAATATTGAGGAGAGAGAATAAGCAAAATAAACGAGTTAGAAATGTTCAAAAAATATATATTATATGGAGTACTCTATTTTCTATCATCTTGATCCTCGTATAAAATAATGTGAATAAGAAGTTTAAAAGATAATTCATTTATAAGGTATTGCAAACTAACCGCCAAATGCATTCTCGGATTCTAAATGAGTAACTAAAATGTATGTCTTCACCGAGAATGCTCCAATTAGAATTGATATCCTACAAGGACAATCTATTAGTGTTATAGCAAATGAATCTAAAGCATGCTTAAAGCGTGGAAGACCGATCGGTTCTAAAAGCAAAAATCTTTAAAAGAAAGAGAAAAATAATTAAAATAAAGGATACAAATATTCATAAAATGATTAAAGATATTTTTTATAATATGCTTCTAGAAGAAGTCCAAATGCTTGAGAAAAATCAAGAGACTTTGATAAATTATGTCAATACATGGAGAAAATAGGATCGAAAAAAATATTTATTGATAAAATTTTTACATATAATGTTGCAATTGATATTTTGAATGAAAATAAAGATTATGAGCCTAAATTTATAGAAGAATATCAACATAGAGATGATTGGTCTAAATAAAAAAAAATCTATGTAGAATTATATTCTTTTACAAATGAGTAGTTTTTAAACTCATAATCAAAACATCCGAAGATGTTAAGCCGAGTAGGATATAAAAGGGTATTTGTGTGAAAACAAAATAAGAAAGATGAGATTATAATATATAAATCAAGATTTGTAACATAAGGATTTTCGCAAAGACTTGGCATTGGCTATGAAGAGACATATTCTCTTGTAATGAATGCAATTATATTTTGTTATCCCATTAGCTCGAAAAAATATATGAAAAAATTCATATGCATGTATTTAATGAATATGATCACAGTTTAGTTGTTCATTTGAAATGATATCTACATAAAAGTCCTAAAAGGACTTAAAATGCCCGAAGCATGTAATACATATTCTCGAGAAATAAATTTAATTAAATTATAGAGATCTCTATTGGCATTATTTTATTATTAGTTTTATTATTTTAGTTTTTAGAAATTCAATTTATGCTATATTATTTATTTATTTTTCAATATCTATTTTTTATTACTAACTCCGTGTGCATGTGGTATAATTGTTTATTGAAAGAAGATTGTAAAAATAACCATATTTATTCATGTATTTTTATTAAAAAAATTCGAAAAGGAGTTTGTGATAGTTGCTATATATGTTGATGATTTAAATATTATTGAAACTCTTGAAGAGATTCCAAATACCATAAGTTAGCTAAAAGGAGAATTTGATATGAATACCTTGGGAAACGAAATTTTATTTGGACCTATAGTTTGAAGAGTTGGAGAATGATATTTCTATTCATTAGTCAATTTATATAGAAAAAGTTTTACAATGATTCTATATAAAGCTCATCAATTGATTAACCCAAATGGTAGTTCATTTACTTGATATCCAAAGAGACCTTTTTCTAATTTTGAGAACATAATAAAGAATTATTTGGTCATGAAGTACCATATTATAGTGTAATTGGTGTATTGATATATCTTGCTAATAATACTCGACTCGATATAGCCTTTTCTATGAATTTATTAGCAAGACATAAGTTTTGCTCCAATACAAAGACATTAGAATGAAATTAAACATTTTTAAGATTATTTATGAGAAAAAAAATTGATATGGTATTTATTTTACTCAAATAAATCAAAATCACATTTAAATGGTTATGAAGATGTAGGTTATTTATTTGATCCATACAAAACTCGATCGAAATGAGTTATGTATTTACACTTGCTAATATAGCTATTTCATGATGTTTTATGAAGCAAACTATAGCTGCTAGATATTCAAATTACTATGCTGAAATACCAATTTATGAGGCAAGTCGAGAATATGCTTAGCTAAGATCAACGATCCATCATATCCGAGAGAGATGCGGTTTATCTACCGATAAAGAAGCTCCAACAATATTATATGAAAATGATGCTGCTTGCATAATTCTATTAAAGAAAGAATACATCAAAGTGACAATCCAACGGACTTATTCGTTAAAGCCTTACCTACCATGACTTTTGAGAAAATGGTTTATAAGATTGAGATGCATCGTCTTAAAGTTCTTAAATGATGTTTCCAACATGGGGAGCCCAACATTGAAATTAATGTCTACAAGAAATATTATATTCTTTTTCCTTCACTCGAATTTTTTTCACTAGGTTTTTTCCTAATAAGGTTTAACGGAGCATGATCGTTGTACGATGAACATTCAAAAGGGAGTGTTATGAAATAATGAATGTCCATTTTATATTTTTACTACTTATGTGATTTAATTCACCATTAAATATGAGAAATTAAAAGGACGATGCAATTTATTCAATTATTTATGCATCTTTTATTGGTTCATAGTTTATTTCAATTCTCTTCTTAATCTTGAAGCCTATAAATAGGCTTGATTATTTATTAGTTCATGTATAAATATTTTGTAGAGATTGAGAGATTATTTGGAGTTGTTATCTCTTGTATTCACTTTATTTTATAGTGAATTTATTTTCCTATCATCTTTCTCTACAATTTTACAATAGTTACCATTTTTTTATAACAATCCTATATTTTTTTTAATGCATTTATAAACTAATTTTTTCATTCATTTCAATTTCCATGTTTTTTTTTTTTTGAAAAATAAAATAAGGAAAAGAAAAAGAATTGGATAAGATGAGAATATTTGATGAGAAAAAAAAGTATTATCTAGAGAAAAATACTAAATTAAGTATAGAAAATATTGGTCAAAGACCCAATAATTTTATTTTTTTACACTATAAAGATTAGTTAGTTAGTTTTAATAAACTATTAACAAAAAAAAAACTAAAGTAAAAAGGATTATTTACTATTTATTGGTACTATTTAAAACATTATTCATCCAAACTCATTTGCGTTATTTACCACGACTCTTGTGACCAAAGAACTTGTAGCCAAGTGGTAATGGTCTCTTGCAATAGATCACGAGTTCAAATCCTAACAAAATCTATTAAGAGCTTTGGGTGTGTGTAAAAAAAAAAAAAAAAAAAAGCAAGACTCTTGTGCACTATTCATTTCACCGTACGGTAGCATTGTTGTAGTTTTTAAATATTTTAAAGGCATTTGTCATGAAAATTTTTGTAATATTATACTTTAATCTCTCTTTTTTAAACATTGTTTTTTAATTCGTATTTTTTTCTATTTCATTTTGGTCCCTCCTTTTGTTTATTATGGTCACTTTGGTCCTTGTTTTTTCTACGATTTTTTTAATTAAAAATTTTAAGGAAGTTTTTAGCTAATAATCCATTGATTTTGATTTTTTTTTCTTAAATTGTTATAAATTTTTTAGTTAAGAATGTGGATATAGATAAATAAATAATGTTTTTTAATTAAAAAATTACAAAAAATATAAAGAATGACCAATCAAATACAAATTTTTGATTTAAAAAATTATAAAATTGAATGAATTTTTATTTGATATATTTTGATAAATACATAATATAACACGGGATATCAAATTGAAATAATTTCTTAAAAATAATTTTATCTATTGTGTTCGACCCGTAGTGCGAATAAAAAAACTAGTAAAAAGTAAGTTATAATTAACTCAAAAACCCTTACTTCCTAACACCAACCGTGAAAACCCGAGAATATTACTAATTTGTCCAAGACGAAAATTAATGGTAACATTAAAATATAATGAGTTTTTACTTAGCATCATTATGTTCATACAAATTCAATGAATTGTGGATTGTGAGATGTGACTCAATTGCATTGTATTTTTTATGATATGTGTCATTATTGTTGTTTTTAAGCTATTTTTTCATTTTTGATATGCAAGTTCTTAATATTATATTTTGATTATAAACTTCATTTATATCACGGTTTAGTTGCTGAATGTAAGAAAGAGAGAGAAACAAAAGTAGAGAAGGAAAGGGAGGGAAATTCACAACGAAACTCATTCCAACCATTTTAGCTCTTGATACTATCTTTAATTTGTTCGTCTTATAGAAAAGAGTATATATTGTCGACAAAGAGAAGCTACCACCTATCCATGTCGTCAATCATGTCTTTGCAACCAGTTCTAACTCCATAGCAGAACAAGGTAATTTTTGGAGTTTTATCATTGCAGGTAACGAACCTATAAGAGAAGAAAGACCATTCATAAAGTTTGTTGAGGTAATACAAACAAGGAAACATGAAAAAGAGGTGGTACTTTGATGTTTTGCTGGAGAGAGGACTCACAAGTTGGGTGACTGTGGAAATATTGTTGCAACTAAGGGAATTTTTTTATGTTGGACGAATGTTTTTTATGAGTTACTTGGTTAAGGAACAATTTATTAATGGCGTTCAATGCAAGAACGTCAATGGCGGTCACATTACTGCAATTATAAGGACATTAATGAAGAGTTTCTGCAACAGATGATCCTTTCAAATTTGTTAGATTTGAGGATCATGAAACTATAATAAAAGGCGTACCATTTAATGAGTTTCAAGTTTATAAAGAAGCAATAATCACTTGGAGCAATTGCTGAAGCAAGCCCGAAGGGAAGAAGCGAGCATACATGCTTTAAACTTACAAGAGAAGAACGACTACTACGAAGTTAATCTTGTTGCACGTGATCATGAAGTCAGGACGTTGGCATAAGTTCTGTATAACGTCAAAACGGAATTTCTTTAGGAAGAATATATCCTTGCAGAATGATAGGAGTTCGTCATCTTTAAACAGGTTAGAACCACAACAATATAACAAAAATTTAGAAATAGCAGTAGTGATAACGTTGCACGAGCAACACCACAGAAAACAATTTAAATTGCTGTCCACATCTAGTTAATGCAATCATTCAACCTAATGACAGAGATTTCTTTACAGCAAGAGCTAAGGTAAAGGCATCAAAAGCAGCAGAAAACACGAGTTTAAAGATTGATCCCGTATGGGTAAGAAGCACAAAACAAAAGCTTATTCATTTATGGCTGATTTTATGAACTTAGTAAGGTGATCCATCTTTAAATTATACGCGCTTGAGATATTTTGATCTTTATAAATTATATTCTGATGGGCAGAACTAGGAGAGTACAATTGAAGCAGTGAATGCATACTATTCAACGGCTAGAGATACTCATCTTGTTGCATTGCTTGCTACATTGAAAATTCACATAGCACAAACATGGTGGCACGTAAAAGATGCATCCAAACATTATGTTACAAACAACCTATGCGCCACCGTGGGCGAACCGATTGTAAAAGCTGTTGTTTAAGACAAGGTTTTGCTGGATAAAATCGTTTCTTTTATAAGGGAAGAAGCTATGAAGCGTGTTAAAAAGGATAATTCTACTAGGGTTCAAGTTCAACGTGATGGTGATGGTTCCGATGCAATCAGCATGAATTTAGGATAAGATGGGCTGGAGTATATAGGCTGGGTTGGCTTGACTGGAAATCCATGCGATTGAGAAAATGATGGATCAAAAATTTGAGGTCGAGTTTTCTTTAACCCAAGAACCGTGATACAAGAGTATTCCCTAGACTTGTTGGGCTGAATGTGGGAGTGTTTTTGGGCCAAATGTTTGAGTCCATTTATTTACTTTAGTTATGTTATGTAGTTAATTTTATTTTATCCTTATTGCACAAACTTTTCTTTAATATTTAATTAAGAGTCCGTATTCGATTTGAATTAGATTAATTAATTCTTATTGAGTTTAGATTGAATTAGGATTATTGAGTCAAAATAGATTAGAGTTTTGTTTAGTTCAAGCTGAACTTTTCCTCTTCCATTTAGGAAAGAGAATTGCCGCATGGTTGCCCTAATTTTTCTAAGTTAATTTTATACTTATTATTGTAATATAGAAATAATAGTTTATTGTATCTTTCTTATGCTTGGCCTAGGAGTGTTACATATATATCTTGTAATTAATCAATTAAGATGGTGATATCGATAAACTGTGTTTAATCTTGTGCTTGCTTAGGTTTACGCATCTATCCTTATTTGATGGAGTTGTAATGAAATCTCTTATTTGCACCAAATCGATAAAGGTTAGTTCATTTATTTATTTTTATCTTTGTAAGTTTCAACTTCCACATAACTTGGTTCATGATCATTCGTTTTGATTGAATTATGAATTTGAACTTATTTTAATTTGATTATAGCTTAATTGAAGTTTCGACACAATTTTGTAGTTTTAATAATATGTTTTTTATTTATTTGTGTTTTGACTTTAACCTATCTTCACAATATCGGTGTCAATAATATGGTTGTTTTAGTTATTGAGGATTTTTATAGTTTTGTAGTTTCAATAATATGGTTGTTTTTTATTTGTGTTTTGACTTTAACTTATCTTCGGAAAATCGGTGTCAAAGTATTTATTGAGTTGTAAAACCTCATCAATTAAATATTTATATGCAAAATAAAAATAATTACATCAACATGGTGGTTATAGTTTTTTTTTTAATTAAAATGCCGTTTTTCTTTTTTCTTCTTTTTCTTCATTTCTTTTTTCTTCTAACAAATAAACCATATTCTCCTATAAATATGATTTTTTTTCTATACTGTCGCGTGATTGTTGAATTTCCCAACTCAATCATGATGAATTAGAAAGACAATACTCGTATACAAAAATTCCTTCATATGGGAACTCCAAATTAAAAAAATTATCATTTTGTGCTTGATATATAAATAAACCTATTATTACTAAATGTCTCTATATCATAGTAGTCAAACCCCATTCAACCCGGCAATTTGACCTAAAAACATGATGATTTTGAATAAAATTCGAGTCAGGGTTGAAATTAAATTAGTTACGGAGTTGAACCATGCATACAAATTTAACTTACGCGGTCAAAATCTAGTTGACCCAGTAGATAAGGTTAAAATATATATATATATATATTCCTAAATTGTCAAACTAAGATTCGAGCCTTATGCTTCCTCTTTTAAAATGTAGTAGTCAGCCAACTAACAACTATAATACATGCAATGCAAATTGGTTTTAATACTATATATAATATTAAAAAATACAAGTAGCTTTGTGAGATTTAAACTCTTCCTCTTTGTGATATATATATATATATATATATATATATCAATCCACCAATCCATCCTTTTATTCCCTTGGCCAGTCAATGGTTCATACTCCTCCACTTTAAAGATGTTAAAAACGCCTCTTGTTTCTTATATATATACATATGATTAAAGGTTGGTAGTGTTAAAAGGGAGAAAAAGTCAAGTTTAATGATCGATGAGGGGAGCAAATAAATTCAATATTTTTAACTTTGGGCAAATCCGGCGGCCTCAAATCATCAAACTCGGCCGGCCAATACTCTAGCGTTAAAAATCAAAACCGTAACCTCTCGATTATTAATTATTAAAAGACCACTACCACTTACAGCTTGCTAGAATACGATTCTGTTCCTTTCATTTCTTTCCATTCGTTTTCATAATCACCCTCTATGCATTTATTTGGCACTAACAAGATGACCAATGGGGGACTAAAGATGGAGGCATGGAGTTCGACACTCGCCAGTTATTGCAAGTTGCAATGATGAGGGGAGAATTTGAGAATATGATACACCTTTTCAACCTCAATTGCCCATTGTTTTGATTGTGGCGTTGAATGAATGAGTAATGAGTGGATACGTGTATAAAATGGGACTTGGCTTTCATAAATGTGATGCAAATGGCCTCTCTATTTTCGTTCTTTTGTTTTTATGTCCAGCTAATTTTTAGGCATCACCGTGATTATGTATTATTTGCATTATTCTTTTAAATATCAAAGTATAAAAAACTTTTTTTAATCTTATAACTATTTTTCAAGTTTAAAACTCTAGATTAATTTTTCGTTATTTGCATTATTCTTTTAAATATCAAACATAAAAAACTTTTTTTCATCCTACAAGCATCTTAATTTTAAAAATTTAGATTAATTTTTCGTTATTCCATAGAATATATAAAACAACAATAGTAACTCAAATAGTTTTTATTTTTGTTTTTTAACGTATATAAAAACTTGAAATTAAAACTACTTATTTAAGCTATTAATTTTTTTTTTTTGCATTCAACTCAACTTTCTTGGATAATATAAAAACTTTCTTTTGGCGATGAAAAGCTCCTTATTTCTACAACTATTTTCCCATTTAAAAAAAGTTAATGCTTGAATGAAAAATACCACAAATTTCATTTTGCGATGTATAATAATTTAAGCTCCGTATGTTATGCATATTTCAATAATTAAAGTACTTCATCTCACACATTAAAGATGTGTTTTGTAATAAAGCCATAACTGATGTGTGAACAAAAAATTCTATGTCCACATTTTTTGAAGAAAAAAAGAGAAAAAAAATTATTTCTCAAGTTGTAAAAATTGTCTTTTGATGGACACTGTCCCAAACAAGATATTCCCACGTACAAAAATCTGAAAAGAACTTAAAAATTTTAAGTGCTCCCTCAATTACTCCAAAAACAATTCTGTTGCTGTTTTATTAAAACATTTGGAAACGTTTGCTTCATCAAATCACCTCATATATTTCTATTTTTGAGAAGTTCTCTAATTTTATCAAGTATAATTTAGCAAAGATGTATAATTTCCAATCAGATTTTTTTTCTACAAAAAAAAAAAATGCCATAATACTAGCAAAATAAATTTCCGATCTGAGTTGTTTAGCTTATCAAAATATCAAGATATATATGATGGTATACTGTCTTCACAAGTTAACATACATTTTCTATTATATATATATATTTCATAAAATCAAGGATTATAATTTTTTTTTAAAGGTGACGCAAGAGAATTTATTAAATTATTATGAATGCATCATGCTGATGTGAAATGTATATTTAAAAAAAAATTGAAAAAAATTAATTTCAATTAATCTATAAATTAGTTTGAAAGTATTCTTATCGAATTGAAAATAATAATAATAATAAAACAAAACCTGAGAAAGAGAATAAAAGCCAGTTTCCGAGGCGGTACTACTTGTACCAGTACTGCTATTTTTTAACTTTCCCTCTCTCCTGTTTCTTTCCAGCTTCTGTCATTCTTTCAAATTCAATAACTCAGTTCTTGCTTAGATTGAGGAAACAGTGATGATCACTATACATTAAAGAAGAATCGGCCTTTGCAAATTCTGGGTTTTCAAGAATTCCTTGGTCAGCTTAATTCCATGGGAAATGAAGAAGAAGGCTTACCCACAAGAAAAGAGACCAGAGTAGGAGCAAGTAGCAGTAACACAATCGATCCTACAGTTCAAATGGTACTAATTGTGTTCCTTTCTTTGCCTTTTGTCTATTTGTCGCTGCCCTTGTTCTTTATGTTTTCCTCCTAAAAAGTTCTTAGCTTTTTTTACTTAATTCTTAAGCTCTTTTATCAATGGAAACCTTTTCTTTTTTTGGGCTATTATTAAAATCATGAATCATGCACCTCCTCCCTCTCTACTTGTGGGTTTTGGATTTTTGGATTTCATGTACATATTTAAGGTATTTTTTTTTTTCATGTTTTGTTCTTTTATGCAAGTGCCGCGCCTTATTTTTTTTTTTGCAAATGCTTTTGTTTTGATAATCTAGCCATCGTTAAATTGGTTTTTATTGTATCTTCCTATGCTGTATTTGACCCTTTGGAGGGACCTGGATTCCCAGATATAAGAAATTAGGAAGGTCAACAAGCAAAAAAGTTATTCAAATATCTCGATAATCTTACTCTTTGATACCAACTTCACTTAAAGCCTTTCATTGCAAACCTCATTTGTGGCAATAAACTATGTTTCAAAGTCGTTTTGTCAGAAACATTTTTCTCAGTAACTTGAAATGGGTTTTAACAGAATTATTTTGATTGGCTTGACATGTTGTGTTTTGCTTTTCTATTGTATTTTGGCCATGGTTATCGATCATATTGAATTTCAACTAGCTCTTAAAGCTTATCTCCACCTTTTTAATAGTTGGGTTTTCTTAGTCAATGAGCACTTAATGCTGAATTTTGCAAACACTTATCCTATTTTTTTCTTTTCTTTTTAGTTCCATGGTCGGGATCATGAATTTTTCAAGATTGTCATTAATTTATAATCTTTGAATAGGGTGGGTTTGTGTTGGTGTATTATGGTTGGTTGCTTCCTATTTGACTTAAATATTGGTTTTGCAAAACATTATGTATCTACTACAAATTTCCTCGTTGATCCTTCTTAGGTTGGGAGTTCCACAGAAATAACTGAGGATAATCCAGAGGGACAACACAGGAGGCACCGAGAGCTCAGCTTAGAGATATCATCAAGAAGTTTGGAGGACGCCAGATGTGATTTTGTGAGAACTCAAACACCTCCAATACGAAGTCCCACTCCCAAAAGAGTAAATTTTTCACCCATGCCGAGCCCTAGTTTTTCCCAAATGAACGAGCCCTCTGATCCCTCATCATCAAAAATTAAATCAAACATAAGAAGTTTACTTCCAAAGTTAAGTTTTAAATATCGGAATAGTACTTTGGATATTGAGAAGGCCGCCATGCTAGCACTAGGAGGTTCATCAGAAACAACAAAGCAAAAGCCGTTCATTTCCAGGACGTTATCTCTCACAAAGCTTTTTACACTCAGGACAAAGAAAACATCATCCTTACCTGTTACCCCTATTGCACACTCAAATCCGGAGTCTATGCATGGAGGAAGTATAATTAATCCACCAAGTTCTGTTGTAAGTATTAACCTCTTCTGAACTTGAAATATGAAATTGCATTTGGGGTTTAAATTAATAAATTTTTAGCAGTCTGGTAGTGCTTTATGAGCATCATTGTAGGGAAATCTTGAAGGAATCACTTCATCTATTGTTTTCATATGTTGATCAATCTGTGAATACTTGGAATAATCACAACGTTGCAAGCAACCATAAACCATCAGTATTCATATGGCATCCATTATCTTTCTGCTGATGAAAATCTTTTATTTTATTTGTTGACTAGTGATTTCTTATCTATAGTTGTTGCTGCAAGACTGCCAATTCAGTTGCTAACTATAATTGTATTTTTAAATCTACTTGTAATCTGAAAATATTTATTCATTCGAATTGCCACATATGATTAGGGATATGTGCATATTCTGAAGGGTCCTTTGCTTTCGCCTCTGAGTATATTGAGTGGAGCATCACCACTTTTATAGACATCCTGAATAGTTAGCAAGGTGCATGACAATACGATTGTTTTAATCTCTGCTGGAGTATTCGACGTGGCCAGTTTCACTTGGCTTTTTATAGTCCTTTTGTGCACCAAATGCACGTACTAAATTCCTAGATACCTAGTTTTATCAATCCGATGTCGTTTGGTGGTGATGCATATTGATTTTTTTAAGTATATTAGTCTGTGTGAATGATATTGCAATTGTTAACTGTTTGTTGAGCATCTTTCCCAGGTGGCGCATCTCCTGAATCTTTCATTTAGTTATTTTCCTTTATCTCGCACAATTTGGTGCAAGGCAAACTTTCTTCCTGACTCTTGGATGTTTCTTCACTTTACAGAAAAGGCCCATTCATCGGTCACGCTCTGTCCCTGTAATTAGCAAAGACGGAAGCGTAAGGCAGTTGGAGTCTTTAGGTGGCCTGTTTCGTGTGGTTCCAAGTACTCCAAGAGCGGCTGAGGGGGCTGTCCCAATAATGAGAACATCTTATGCATCACCCACAAATGATTCTGGTATAGCCATTTTTTAAAGGTAAATTTTAATTTGTCCCCTTAAGGTTTGAGGGATTTCTCAATTTCTCTTCTGACATTTCATTTGTATCAATTACCTCCTAAACTTTCATCAAAGTTTTGATTCTTCCTTTCCATCAGTTAAAGTAACATAACTAAGGATATGGCATTTTTTATGTTTCAATTGACTTTCTAAAGTATTAAAAAAGTCTCAGTCAAATATTTGTCCTTCAATCATATTAGTTATTAGTTTGAGCTTATGAATTTTAATATGATTTAAAGGATTAATATGAAAATTTCAAATATGATTTGGACAAAAATATATATATTGGATTAGTATTATTGATTTTATTATATTAAATTATATGCTTTACACAATTAACTCCTGTTTTTTGTTTCTTGAAAACAAGAGTATATAAAGATGATATCAAGCTATGTTAACTTTTTTTTTTATTATTATTATTATTAAAAAGCTATGTTAACTTGGTATTTAGATCATTATGATTCATTAAAATATACAAGATTTATAATTTGATTTTGTGTATTTCTATCAATAACTTTTATATGTTAAAAGTTTATAAATTTGAGAAATATGATATCAAAAAAGAAAATATATTCCCAATTGAAAAGGCAAGATAGTTAATATGATTGAGGAATGTGAGCTCAATTAAGATTTTTTAAAAAACTTTACGAAATCTATTGAAACATAAAACATGCCACGTCGTTGGTTAGTTTAACAGATGGAAGGGAAGACTTGAAACTTTGATGAAAGTTTAAGGGATAGTTGATAAAAAAATAAAAATCTCAGGGAAAAAATTGAGAATCTCCTCGAATCTCAAGGGGGAACTTAAAATTTACCCTTCTTTTAATTGTGCTAAATTGTTCCCTTTCGCCGCAAAATTAAAAGGCTGTAAAAAGACAAAGGAGGGAGGGGATTCATGGAAATGGGAGCGCATACAAATTGTAATTTCTAATCAAAGAGATTTTGTGGCTGAAAGAAGGCACTGGTTTTAATATTTTCGTAATGTTATTGGTTGTGTGGGTATTTGAGCTTTCAACTACAAAGCTTACTCTTGTTGTGCAACTTGCGATAACCAACCTTTGCCTTATCTTTAGTCTTGTGGTTCAGATGGAAATGATGATGGTGGTGAAGATATCCCTGAAGAAGAAGCCGTTTGCAGAATCTGCTTGATTGAACTGGGGGAAGGTGCTGACACCCTCAAGATGGAATGCAGCTGCAGAGGTGAACTTGCATTGGCACACCAAGAATGTGCTGTAAAATGGTTTAGTGTTAAAGGTAATAGAACATGTGATGTGTGCAAGCAGGAAGTTAAGAATCTACCAGTTACCCTTTTCCGAGTTCAAAATTCTCAGGCACTTGATTCTCGAGGAGATCAAACTCGGCATGCGGAGGTTCCTCAATACAGGCAACTAAAGCTATTCCCTTTCTGCATTTCATTGAAACTAGATGTTCTTAGTTGTTCTCCTTTTCTTTCAAGAAAGTAATATTCTCCTATTTATATAATTAAAATATATTGACCATAGCTAGGCAATTAAATGTCAAATTCAATAAAGCCTCTCCACTAATCAAAGCAAGGGCTGAAACCTTTCTGTTTATTATCCTGGTTAAGCCAATAAACTTGCAATGCACACTTGAATGAGATCTATTTTAGGGCCAATATACATGTTGAAAAGTAGATGGTACTACAATATGTATTTTGGGTTTGCGATGACAAGGGTGCATGATTGAATTTGAGACAGCTGCTTGATGCAAAAAAGGCAGAAGTGTAGGCCTGTCCAATTTCTGGGACCATAATTGGGCAATGCTAAGTTATCAAGAATCAATTTAAAAACTCGATTGTGTCCTTTGTTGGTCATATGTGTCTTTTTGCTGATATGAAATATTATTCTAGCCTTCAGCTGATGTTTGAATTCCATAATCTCATTTTGGAAGATGGCTACAATTTTTTTTTTTTTCAAGGATTTGGCAGGATGTTCCTGTTCTTGTCATTGTCAGCATGCTTGCCTACTTTTGTTTTCTCGAGCAACTTCTGGTAAGGATAGTAATCCATTATTCCTGCTCTTCAAGCCTACCACAGCATCTAAATTCGTCATTTTACAGGTTGGAAAAATGGGGTCTGGTGCAATTGCCATTTCTCTTCCATTTTCCTGCATATTGGGCCTGCTTGCCTCCATGACTTCAACCACAATGGGTAGGGCTGACCTTGTATCTGTATTCAGATAACTTTTTTAGTGATTTTAGTGATCTCATTGTCTCACTTATTATTTGGAATTTGGGGTTAGTGAGGAGAAGGTATGTCTGGGTTTATGCAACTATTCAGTTTGGATTAGTGGTCCTTCCTGCTCATCTCTTTTATTCATTGGTGAGTGTTGCTTTCTCTTGTTTTGTTACCTTCCATTTTCAGTTCAACTTTAAAGTCGGAACACTTTTACCGGGGAAATAGCTTTGGTCTTAGGTTTAAAGATAAGCTGTAGTCAGGAACTTACTGAAGGATCATATTACTTGCATGGGGTTAAACAATGATGAGTCAGGCTCTAGAATTGTTATGTTAAACCCAATTCTTAAAAGGTATAATTGCGATCAGTATTGATGGTTTCTATATTTGTTGCTTCCTCAGCTTCATATGCAGGCTGTTCTATGTGTTCTCCTTGCCACTTTTACGGGTTTCGGAGCTACAATGTTCGGAAATTCTGTTATAGTTGAGATGATGAGATGGAGGAGAAGATGGCTTGCTCAGTCAAATGAACAGCGTGGTTCTCTGGATTTGGCACAACCACAACAACAGCCTGCTACGGTTAATGAAACTGTGACAAATCCGAATCATCTACCAGCTGAAAATGGAGGTTCAGAAATTATGCATTTCAGCTGATTTGGTGTACATTTTGATGAATCAGTTACGCAGTCAATGGCACAAAGATGGAGGGTTCTTGCTGTATATATATCATATAGTACAAGCTAAGTGGATATTCGCATTATGATACGATCAGACAATCGTTATAGATGTATAGTCAATGATTCGTATGGTGTAATGCGGATAAAAATCTTATTTCTCGTAATTAATGTAAATTAAATTTATTTGTTGAGCAAAATCGTTTAATTTATATATATTTATTAATAAAATAATCAATAATATTAGCTAAAAAGTTATATTTGAATAATTGAAAGGTTCTTTCAAAATATTATTTTAATTATTTTATTTAAAAAATATTGATTTTAGAATATAAAAAAATAAATAATAAATAATTAGTGTTCTGTGTACAATATATATAATTAATTTTTAACAAAACTAATAATATTTATTTCAATTATTTTATTTAAAAAACATTGATTTTAGAACATAAAAAATAATAAATAACAAATAATTAGTGTTATATATATAGATATATAATTAATTTTCAACAAAACTAATGATATATATATATATATATATATATATATATATATATTATCATGCTTAGTAGATTTAGAGTATATAGTATAACAATTTTTTTTTAAAAAAAATCATTTAAGTTGTATGAAATATACTAAAGTCAATAAATTGAAATAAAAATAATTACAAAATTGCTTCTATAAATTTTACTTCTTAATTTATGATGAAAGATATTTTTGAATTACAAATTAAATTATAAATTAGTTTATCTCATTTTGAAAAATGAATTAATTAATTCTTTTGGTTTCAAAAATAAATTTTTTAATTTTTTTAATCAATGTTGACAACGAATAATTTATTTTTTTATTTTAAAAAAGTCTTTTTTCATATTTTTACTTGTTTTTTTTTATTCTTTCTCCATTTCTTAAAACAAAAAATAAAACCATTGAAATAGCAAAAAGGAAAAACAAAATTAATTTTTGAACCAAAGGAACTAATGGTGTTATGTATGCAAATACATAATTAATTTCCAACAAACAAATGATATATATATATATACACTTAGTAGATTCGAGTATAAAGTATAAACAATTTTTTTTTAAAAAAAAAACATCTAAGTTGTATGGAATATATTAAAATCAACAAATTGAAATAAAAACTACTATAAAATTAGTTTCCATAAATTTTACTCCTTAATTTATGATGAAAGAGATTCTTGAATTGCAAATTAAATTATAAATTAGTTCTTGTTTTGAAAAAAAATAATTAATTCTTTTGATTTTGAAAATGAATTATTTAATTTTTTTAATTAGTGTTGACCACAAATAATTTATTTTTTATTTTAAAAATGTCTTTTGTTTCATATTTTTATTTATTTTATTATTCTTTATCTATTTCTTAAAACAAAAAATAAAAACATTGAAATTGCAAAAAGGACAAAAAAAAATTAGTTTCTGAAACAAATGCACTAATGATATTATGTATGCAAACATATAATTAATTTTCAACAAAACTATATATATATATATAGTATAAACAAACATTAAAAAAAACATCTAAATTGTATAGAATATATCAAAGTCAATAAATTGAAATGAAAATTACTATAAAATTGGTACTCATAAATTTTACTTCTTAATTTATGATGAAAGAGATCCTTGAATTGCAAATTAAATTATAAATTGGCTAATCTCATTTTGAGAAATGAATTAATTAATTCTTTTGGTTTCAAAAATAAATTATTTAATTTTTTTTAATCGAGTGTTGAGCATGAATAATTTATATATATATATATATATATTCTTTCTCTATTTCTTAAAAAAAAAAAATCAAAGCATTAAAATAGCAAAAAGGAAAAAAAAAGTTTTTGAACCAAAGGGACTAATTAATTTGTTTCTCAAAGAAAGAGGGACTAATTTATAATTACTCTTAAATAGCAAAAGGTTTTGGCTTCCTTGTCGAAAATAAGAAGGAAAAAAATTTGAAAGAAGGTGGGAGCATTAAATGCTCAATCTGAAAAAAAGAAGAAGGAAATGATAAAAAAAAAAAAAAGGCCTAAAAAGAAAATTAAAAAGAGAATTAGTTAAGGGTAAAAATGGAGTTTCCCAAATCCATTAAGTGGTAAAAGAGAAATTAACCAAAAGGTAGGGGTAAAAAATCAAACAACACAATGAATAGTGAATCTAAGTCTAAAACAATAGTAAATGAATAGTAAATATCTTAGTTCTTTTAGTTTTTTCTACTAATATATATTAAATTAAAAATTAAAAATAAAATTTTTATTTAATTTGATAATTTTTAATCAAATTTTGTATTTCATTTATGCTTCTTTATGTTTTTCATAGATTTTGTTGTTAAGAAAAACATGATTCACTTTTTTTATTCATTTATTCTTAAATAAAAACCTACAATAATATAAATATAAAATTTTTAAAAATATCTTAATATTTTTTTATGAGACTACATCAGAGAAATATATTAACAATCAATATAAAAAATTGTACAAAAATTAACTAATAAATCTTTTTAAACTTTTTAAAAATATGTACATTTGATATATAAACACATACACACAAAACAATCAATAATATTAGGTATAAAAATATGCATTTGAATTATTAGGTGATTCTTTTAAAATATTATTTTATTTAAAATAAATTAAATTTATAATATTAAAAATAATTAATAGGAAATAATTAGTGTTATATGTGTAGATGCATAATTAATTTTTAATAAAATCAATGATCTCAATACCTTTTTTGTATACATCATTACCATACTTTGTACAAATTAAAAAATATGTTTTAAAAAAATTAAGTTGTAAGAAATATATTAAAGTTAATATAGTGCAATAAAAATAATTTAAAATTTTATTCCAAAAAATTGATTATATCAAGAATAAGTTAAAGAAACAAGTTAATTCTATTATTTATTAAAAAACATATTAAAAATTCATGCACGTAAAAAGATAAATCATATTGATTAACAAATAAGATTTCATAAAAAACGAAATGAAAAATTTAAGAGATTAATTTTAATCAATAAAATATATATATATATATATATATATATATATATATATATATATATATATATATATATATATATATGTGTGTGTGTGTTTGTTCTAAAATTTAAAAACATAAGAGGCCAAAAATATCTTTTAAAAATATGAAGAACAAAAAATATATTTTGAAAAAAAGTAAGACAAAAATGGACTAAGTTAAAAATATGAGAAAAAATATTTTTTAAAGTACGAGAATTTAAAAATATATTTTGTAAACATAAGTGACCAAAAAGAAATGAAATGTAAAATTTGAAAATGAATGTAAAAAAACTATAAAGAAAATTAAGAAAATGCCATTGTAAAAAATTACAAAATTACCACTCTTTAAACAGTAATAAATAGTCAACTAAGGCAAATGAATCGATTCTTTTTTAGTTTTTTACTTAATAAGATCTGTTATCTGTTTTTTTCTTTTTAGATATATATAAAAATGGGCATACAGATGGGCTGACAACATACTCTGGCATGGAACATTGCACCTTTCGCACCAACACATCTGGAGCTACCCCTGCTTACCCATATCAGGGCTAGAAAAGAAAATAAATAATTAAGAATATCATAGTTCTCTAAGGCCCAAAGTTCAAATCTATTAGTTTTATTGGTTTCACGATTGATCTGTTGATTGTTGCGATGTTTTAAAGTGTGAAATACTTCTTAGACGGAATATAAATTTTTCTTTGCTAGATTGCAGCTATTTTCTGGCGCATTTGATTTTGCAGGTTCAAGTGCTCTATATAATTACTTTTGAAAATGCCGACTTCATTTGCTTGTTTTTTAAAATTTTCCTCTTGATTAGTTTAGATCTTGTGGTGCCAAATTAGAAACATCATCAGTGTAACGAGCAGAGGATGGAAAAAAGAATCATAACAGATTGCACCTTATAATAAGAAAATTTGTCAGACTCGTAAATCAAGCACTGCAGATTACCCTAGAATTTACAAATCATCCAACTGGGGTGGGTGTGGGTTGGGAATGCTGGCCAAGAAACTTCACTGTCATGCAGCAAGTTCTGCCAACAGGTGGACCATTAGCAATTAGCGGCGGGTGATAGTGATAGTTGCTGTGTGTTAGGTACTAATTTGACCATCACAGAAATTGTGGGACTATATTGCCACTTCAAAATATGCCAAGACCCCCATAGGGAGATTCGAATTGTGAGTACTCTCGGGAGGATTGGTAGCAAAACAGAAAAGGGCAATACAACGGAAAAGAAAATGAAAACATCACAACAAAAAGTCTAGCTAACATGGTATAGCTTTAGATCAGCTTGATAGCCAGAATAAGCCAAATCAATACAGATACAGCACTAGTCTCCCATAATTCAATGTTCCTCAATATAACTTGTGTCAAAATCCACATGTAATACGAACCAAAAACACAGAAACCCTTTCCAGATTAAAGGTACATCTAAGAGAAATAAATTGAAGCTTATGAAATGTTATTGTGACAGAGAGAGCTTCAGGATATCCAGCAAAAATAATATGGTGATTTTGGAATTTCAATACCAGAAGAATCAAACGAACTCCTATGCAACTCAGAAATGCAATTCTCAAAGGATTGACTTCCAATTATCTCCGTCAGCAATTAAACAATATATAAGATATATCCTAGCAACAGCCGTTTGGTACTTACATAGGGTGTTTTCTCCCTCCCGAGCTCTTAGTGCCATAAATGGCATTTTATCTCTCAATATACAAATGGGCCTGGTTGATGGATCCCCCAGCAATCAGATCACATTCTTCCAGCTCTGACTCTGAGAATATCAACTGTAGAAAAGGAGATGAACAGCCACACCAGCAAATTCAAATCATATTCAAACTGATGACAGTTTGGTCATTGCCTATACGCAGAACTGCCAATCTTGCTTGAGAATAATGGCTTCTCCTTCAAACTGGCACTAAGGATGGTTTCAGAGTTGCCTGACTGGCTTTCTGAGGCACCAGGTCTCATCCAGATTTTTATGTGGCCCTCTCTACATACAGTAAGAACAGATTCCTGTGTAAATACTAAACCAGAAAGAGGTTCTGTGTGAACACGGTGAGCTACTACAGGAGAAAGCTTTGGAACGTCACGCATGCTTGGAGCAGGTTGCAGAGTACCAACTGGGATAACACTGTCCCAGTGGGAAGACTGACTTCCAGTACTGAAAGTAGGAGATCCACCAGGTGGGTACCTGCGTAATGGCACTACAATCTCATCCGTTTCCAGGTCCCATAGAAGCAACTGTGTGTCCTGTTGACAGAACAAACAAGTTTCAACATGGTTAGTTATGAAGCCTATAAACCACAAGGGTATTACAAGGAGTTGAAAAATTAGGGAAAACTGGATAGATAATGTTATAAAAGATTGACCACATACACCACACCTCACTCCTCAAAAGTCTCGTTTTAACTCATACCACATGTTCTTTACTGCTGCAGGCATTGGTTTCCACTCTATGCCCAAAATATCTCAGCCAGCTTTTATTACTAAGTGTTTGGAAAACAAACATAAGACAGAGATCCGATACATTGCATATATACAAAAGCCCAAAACTCGTTACAAGCTGCAATACAGCTAATATTACGCTTAAATTATTCTTTTGAAAACAAGAATAATCAAATAACCCAACCTTTTAATCTAATCAAGTAGCCTTTTCGAACAACTCCCCACATTCTTTATTAACTAAATTCTATGCACATGTGGCACAAAATTAATACAATTAAATGTATTTATGCATGCTATGTATTTACAAACTATAAACAACCACCCAAAAAAAAAAAAATCATGAATAATTAAAATGCATAGCCTGCTTATTTTAATCTTCTTTTTAGAGAAAGGTAAAGTCTCTGGCCTAACTACATATTATGGAAAATAATATCTTATTGAAACTCCAAGGCTCTGTTTGTTTCATGCAAAATAACTCGTTCTTGGAATATGTTATTTTTAATTGTTTAGCTATGTTGATGAAAACTACTTGAAAACAATTGTTTCGTGTTTTGTATGTATGAAAAAATTGGTGTTAAGAAGGAAAAGAAAAGAATTATTAAGTGGTGGGGCCTAGGATTTAATGAGAAAGGTAGTCTTGAGAAATTTTTTTATGGTTAACTTTTTATCATAAATCATTTTCCATTGACCAAATTTTCCTAGGTAAACCAAACATCAGAAAATGAGGAAAATATTTTACATGAAAGAAGCTTATTAATTAAAACTATCTTTCTGTAGGATAAAAACTGAAAAATACCCCTACAACAATTATTTTAGAATATCCAAATTCTTGCAGAAAGAAAAAGCCACATGGTATTTACATTGAATAAAAGGCTATTGAGAAGATATCATCTTCAAAATAGTTCTCTTTCTTAAACCCTATAAGAAACATACGTTATATTTGAAATCACCAGACTTGGCATACCCCTTGTTGTTTTGGCGACTTTTGTGTACCACCACCCAGAATCACCACTACCAAATATGAGACTCTTGTAAATAAAAAGAAAATAAAAATTGAGCCTCTCCTAAGATACAACAGCAATTCGACTCAACTTTGAACCGAAATTGCAGTCTCCACTTTGAGTAAAATGTCACATTAGATGAGATTAACAAACATGATAGCACAAAGTTTACATAGGTTTACACATTTACTAGAATTTGTGATGAGGTAGAATACATAAAGGTAGTAAATAAAAACTAATAAAGGCGATAATAGTTATTAAAATAAAACAAGAAAGGTATGTTCATCAAATTAAATGTTCTGACATAGCTTGTGCTTTTATTTATAACAATCCAAGTTTTTTCCATCAATATGAATACTCCCCAAGTTCTACAATTTTGCTAGAGCTAAAACATAAAATATTCATCATGTCTTATTTAGAACCAATACTTTTCAAGAGCACTCCCCGGGGTTCTAAAATCTAGGATGCATCTGCTTCACTATTAACTTAAAACAAAGTGTTGTATCATGCTCAGCACCCTAATTTTCGTTTTTTGCATATCACATCCAATTGCTATGACCTTTGTCTTCTCTGGAACTTAAAATTGCTTTCAGCTAGCTGTAGAACAGGTCAACCATGAATTGCAAAAAATGTTTACCATACCTGACCAACAGAACCAAACCGGTACACAACACTCTCCCCTGTGCCATCTGAATTAGGTGATGACCAATATGAATCAAAAGCCACTCCACTCACCTATCAGCACCATCAGATAAGAACTGTATAAGATGACCAGAATCTGTAATGGACTATCAACCACCATTATTTGACAATCTTACCCATGAATTATGTCCTTCACCCCACGCAACAACCTTCCGATCTTCCATACTCCAAACTTGAACTAAATCATCTTCTCCTCCGGTCAAAATATATTTTGCATCCATGCTGAGAGGGTGACACTTTTCATCGTCAATTTTCTTGAAGGCAATATCAATCATTCAAATGCAAAAGACCAACAGAAAAGAAAGAATTAAAGTTTAAATGCAAAAGGGTCTTAGGCTATATCAGTTCAGAGTAATGGCCTCTTTTCCATGTGTACAACTAGTGCAAGATATTGGAAGAAGATTTTCAAAAGAATAGTCACCTCCAAGCACAACATAGAAGAGCACCATAGTAACTTTTCCCACCACATATAAGTTGCTCTTTCAAATAGTCAAAAACTCGCAAGTAACCTGCATCAGCAAAAGAATAAAAGCATTACCAACCAACACAGAATAAAACAAGAAAAGCATTAGATGCAACAATTCAGCAGTGTTATACCATCTCTTCCAACAGTTGCTAAATAGACCCCATCAGTTGAGAAAGCAATGCCATTGATTGAACCTTGGCAAATATGCCATCTGGCAATTGGGTTACTCTGCATGCAGTTTGTAGGAGTCAAGGAAAGAACTGCATATTTTGTTGGATAAGTATAGAAAATAAGAAATGATAGGTGGAATAAGGATGAGAAAAATAATCTACCACTCAAGATGCACATGCTTCTAGTGAAAGATGACGTTCTTATAATGCCAAAGGGAAATGAACTACACACATGAAAATCTAACAGAAGCAGCTAACCACAAATGCACAACCTCCGAGTAAGATCACCAAGAAAACACAAGTATGGGGAGTTGGAAAAACTAAAAATGAGGTTGAGCAACAGAGCCTGCTTTGCTGGTCTCTCTCTCTGGCACAATATACTGCTGCCAACAATCTAAACTTCAGTTGGGTAAAATCCTGAGATGTTAGGAACCTATGCTGCATGCTTCTTACATTTAGAGTAACCAAATTGGCATACTCCATAAACAATTAACAGGCCTAAAACCTTGAATTATTTATTTAACAGCATTTCTACTATACTTTTTACTAGGGTAAACTTTGCCTCGATAATCCGTCCAATGTTACCCATGTAATGTCCAAAAAGTTTCAACATTAATCCTGACCGTTAATTAGGTATCAGAATTCAATGGAAAGCTCACTTTTCCAACCTGCTCTTTTTATTTCATTTTTCTCTCGTCCTTTCCTCTCAAATACCAACATGTGTGATAATACCTCACAAAAACACTTAGGGGAAAAAAAAAAAAACCTTTAAAGTAAAGAATATAAATTGAAAGGTGGGTTTACCATGGGGAACTTATTGGAAACTACAGGGGTAATATTAAGAAATTTTAAACTTTAGGGACAGAAGTGAAACATTGGTAAATCTATATAGCAATAGTATAGTTTATTCTTTATATTACTTTATACTACTAGAATACAACTACAACCATGAATCCAATTTGTTTTCACCCTGAAGAAAGCAACAAAGGTGGGCATAAATTAACAACACCTACAAAACATGAACACATACGAATTTACACGCATGCACAAATTCATATATGCCAAGATACATATGATGAAAGTTAATCAATCAAAACTAATGGTTAAGCAGACAGAGTTGACTGTGAAGAAACTCATCACAGCAGTCAAGCACACGACCCTTCATGCACTATGAAGAAAACAACAGCCTTCAGCCCTTCACTATATTGATTTTAGTCATAGAGAGAGATGGCCAGCGTCCAGTGAAGTTATTGCTCTCCAGACAATAGTTAGAATGTGACGAGAGAAAATTTGAGTTACCATATAAAGTCTCCGACAATAATGAAAGCGATAATCATTGGCAAAAAGAATGACCCTAAAAAAGCAAAACATAATATTTCAGAAAGATTTAAATCTTGATCATGGCGTCATTTGCATCACCATGACTAATTGTTGCTTTGAAAATGTGCACAACTCTAAACTTCTATGTGTTTACATCACACTTACCTTGGCAACAAAAGCAAAACAATACTTTGCTATGGTAAATATTGAGGAGGAGGAGCTACCTAATGAAGGATGAAGTAATAGATATAATTGTTTCAGGACTTAAAAAAATTCCTTATTAGAGTTTGCTTGCACCATTAGAAATTATGTAGCATTGCTCGAAGTAAGACTACAACATGTTATTTTAATTGCAACAAGACAAACTATTCTACCTTACTGTAGCGGGCGTGTGCAACAGAGAATTGAGTTTGGTCTTTGATAACAGGGAATGAAGAATCACCAGCGCCATCTTTGTTCTTGAGGAAAAGGAAAGTAATAGAATGATGTTAAGATCTCTAGATACAACTTGAACTGTGAAATTTTGAGAAGATGAAAAAATATAATTTTCTTCACGTTGGAGGGTTACCTTTTCATAGACGTACAAATTACCATCAGCATGTGCAACAACAAAAGCACCATCTCCTCCAGGCACCCAGGCAATACTCATACAACGACTGTTGAAAACGAGCAGTATTAATTAAATTGGTTTTGCGCATAGAACTCAATGGTCATAAGTGCAATACAAATACTTGATGGTTATGATTTGTTAACAAAATGGTCTTTTGTCCAACATCTCTGCGCAGGGGATTTTTTTTTTCCCTAAAAACAAAAAGGAGAATCAAGATTTCAGAGTTTCTAGAAGATATCAAGCCACACCAGTAAAACATTTTAAATATAAATTTGGTGGATTGCTTGAAAGCTTTTTTATTCGTGGCCTAAAGAAAGTACTGCACAATTGGAAAAAAGTTGCATACCCACACAATATGAGTACTTGGACATTTTAAGGTCCGTTTTATAATTGATTTGACACGATATAGCTTTTACAGCACCCAATGAAGCAGGCAACAAAAAAATTATTTTTTTATATGTTTTAAATTGATTCTACAATGCTTTTTTTTTTTTTTTTTTTTAAAGATTTGCAGGGATCTTTCTGTAATCTCTAGGTTTGCTGAGAATTTATAAGTTTAGGTTTTTATTTTAGTATTCATTCAATATTTAATTTTTCTTGTTTAGGTTTTTCTTATTCAAGATAGGAACAGAGTATTTTCTTATGTAAATGTCTTAATTTGACTAGTATGGCTATTTCAATAAAGGGATGTCCATATTCAGAGAATTTTCAAAAATTATTACAGTTGTGTGATGTGATCAATCTTAGGAGTGACTCCTAAGAACCCTAGGTGTTTAGGTTTTTCCTCTCTCATGTAATTTCTAGAAACCCCACCAATGCAATGCTAGCAGCCCTTCCCATTCATCCCCAATTCCATTTACGAACTGTAAGTAGCTTTCTCCTTTAACCTAAACCCTTAAATCTCTAATTTTTCAATCCCTTAACCATTGAAAAAGACTTGTACACCAAAAATTCAAATATGTGCTATGTTTCCCATGGTGCATTCGGATAACAGCCCAGAATCCATCCACTAGAAGCTTTACCAATTTCCAGACAATCAAAATCATTCTTGAAAGATGAAAGAACTGATAAAATGGCTAATTAAATAATCTCACTTGAATTTTCTTACTTTGCAATCAAATCACTCCACAACTGTATGACCTCGATCCAAGTATTTCCTAAGCGTATCTTGGATGTTGAGGATAATCACCCCTCTACATCATAACGAAAATAAAAGAGAGTATATTTCTCCAAACTAATTACATTCTCCATGCTAAACAGTTTTCCAATGTGTGCAAACTATCTTCAGAATTCTATTGATCCATGATACATAAATATTCAAGAGTAAATTATGAAATGAAAATTATAAAAATTGCCCCTTAAGCTCAAACATGCAAAATCAAACATCATTTAGGATTCCACGTTTCTCATCAACCTTCTTTGCGACATGCATTATGACCAGGCCACACTAATTTTCACAGCTCATAGAAGTTATATATGGATATGTGATGTTTTAACAACAAGATCATCACTTAAATAAGAGAAGCTTGGAAGAATAAGCATGCATGATAGAGAAATAGTCAAAATATGAAGGGAGAGCACTATAGCCATTCTTGCCTGTTATTAACAGAACCATCTTTGTTATAATGCTGGGCCCCAACTAGCTTCTTTCCAACATCCTGTAATTGCTGTCTCAGTGACACTGAGTAGACTACAATAGCACAAATATAGCCCCCAAAAATCAGAAAGTTTAAATTTTCAATAAAGAAAAAAAAAATTGTAATCAAAAGTCGAGTTAAGATTTTACCATCACCAGAACTCAAGCCAATAAGCAAATCATGCCCATCCTTAGCATCTTGATCAAAGGCATGGCACACAGGGTTTGAATTACTAAAATGGATGGATTTTATTGGATCCTATATTCAAACAAAGAACCTCTTACATACCTACCCCCATGCTTCCACTAAAAAAAATATCAACAAAAAACATTAAGTTACCTTATCTTGAGAATTTAAATCACTAATAAAGATGGCATCCCCTACATTGAAGATCAAGTAAGTCCCTTTTCCATCAAAATTTGTATTAATCATTGAATTACTTGAGCTCGAAGCTCCCAATGATCCAATCCTACTACTACTACTAATACTTTTACTCCCACCATTGCCTCCAACAAAGCTAAGTGCACGGCTTCCATTGCTACCACCCAGCAACCTAGCAGCAGCTGATCGTACACCACTGCCTGCACTGAAACCTGAAGTTGGGGCTGTCGGGGTTGATGGGGCAGGCTTGTCCTTGAGATTAGCTAGGGATACCTGATAATCAAATTTAACCAAATTTCTTTTCAAAAACTCAAATTGACAATAAATATACAGGTCGGCATTATCACATTAACTAAAAGATGCCACTATGAAAATTTAGCAGATAACCTACTAACTGTTGATTCTAACAAATGGGCATTGACCAAGGAGATGATGATGCACCAAACCTAATCAGATGCTGATTTCAAAAATAGGCTGTTGCTAAAATCCCCAGAAATTAATGAATTATCAATGCTAGAACAAAATAGCAAAAACCATTCAGAAAATGTAATGTCAATAAGGAAAAAAAAAAAAAACCTAAAACTAGAGAGCCACAAACCAAAACTAACTCAAAAATTCTAAAAATATACAGCTTTTAACGAAACGGGCAATCCCCAAAACGCTTTGAAACAAAAATAAACCCCTAAAAAAGAATCGAATTAACAAAATGGGTATTAATAAAAAGAACCCAAAAATTAATGAAATGATGTAAAAAAGAAAAATGAAAACCTGAGTAACAGTTTTGCCATGGGCATAGTGAAGGAGACCAGAAGGATGTGTCTTTTCATAGTGAAGCTTGTAACGTCCTTCTGGGGTTTTAAAATAAGTCTTTAATCCCGGTGATTGCGTGTTCGCCGATGTAGATGACGTTGAAATCATGCCGTTGCTTGTGTTGATCATGATGGTATTGCCTTTTTATTACTGTAGACCTTAAGGCATCTGATCATGACACTAGGGTTTGTCTCTCCTTTCTTTTTTTTAACAAAAAAAATGAAACCAATTTGCTCTTGGGTTTTGATTTCTAAAGAGAAAAACTGAGTATTAAACTTTTTTATGCTGTTTCTGGGTCTTCCATGGAGAAAAGAGAGAGGGGAAGGAGGTTTTTGGATCCTCTGTTTCGAGGCTTTTAAGAAAACGTTGTTGTTAATGTTTGTTCTACTTTTGTTATGTTCTAAAGATCCGCAGTGTTTGACTTTTGATGTTTAAAAGTCAGTTAAATGGACGGTCGAGATAATAGAAGAGTGGGAAGGTGCCTGGGTTTGAAATTTTGTAAACCAGCCGGTGAGAGGAGAAGATGACATTGATAATGATGGGTAAAATCTTAAGTAAGTCTCTGTCTAATTGTTGAGATTGAATTTTGGTGTTTGTTTATAACTTTGGACTTGAATGAGGAATTATAGTCTGCATCAAGATGTGTCTTAACCAGATCATGTTTTTTTTTTGTGCAAGACGGTGATCGTAGGATATTCTTGAGGGCCTAGCAATGGGAGCCCATCTTCTGTTGCGGCTTGTTAACATCAAGATTTTTAACCATGCCTTGTGCTCAGGAACTGGCTCTTTGTGAATTTGTGTTTCGAAGCTAAGAGAGGCCAGAGATAACCTAAATTAATTGGTCTAACTTTTTAGTACATTGTTTATATCTTTATGGTCAAAATATCTCTGAACCAGCTTTCAGGGATTCACTCTCTTTATAGTTAGATCCAAAGAGGTTCTCACATATCCATTGGTGCATTCATGATTTTTTTTTTTTTAATAAACAAAAAAAATAAAAAAATAAGTAAAAAATATGGAAAGATTGATGAAATTTTTTTTTTTTGAAATAAAATAATATGAAATTAATCATATTTAATTATTTTTAAAATAAGAAGAACTGTAAATTTTATTTTTTTTTGGGCAAATCTAAAGACCCTAATTCACAACTTAGGGAAAATACTGGCGGAGGAAACTAGAAGCCTGAAATAATTGGAATTCCAGAACCAGGCCAGTTGTCGAACCCTATGGCCCAAGTTTTCATGTACAAGGTCTTGGGTCTTAGTAAAAAGCCCAAACTGTACAGAAATGGATTTGAAGATTTATCGGGCTGGTAATGAGCAGTAAATATTGGAGCTCACGTTTTCAATGATTTCAAGAGTTGGCTCTTAGTGAGCCCATGGAGCTTTTCTAAATTCCAAATCTTCAATTTGGAACCCAAGGCCTAATTCCCGACGTTACTTCTGTTCCTGTGTTTCCTTGAGATGTTGCTATTTTAAAATTAAACTTTGCTTCATTAACCTCCAACTCAGTTAAATATGATTTCGCCAACTGAAACCGAGCTGTCATCTTCACCCAAATGATCATTTCATGAGAACTGCAAGAAAAAAAGGTTCTTAGATCATTAAAAAGGTTCTAAAACAGACATGTCCGGAGCTTCTAATAATGGCCTTGAATTATCAAGCCAGGTAAATGGAGCAGTGTTACTCTGGACAATATGATTGAAACTAACATCTTTTGGCTTCTAGCCAATCCGATTGCAGAAATTGCAACACCACTTAATACCATTATTCACTAAGTATGATCAGAGAGTCAACTTACATCTAACATTATTATTGACGAGGCTGCGAGTCTCGATTAATAACGTGCAAGGTGGTTTTTTCCTTGACCGATGCGATGGATGAGTTTGAGGAGGAAGGAGGTTGTTGTCAGCACAATCAGACAAATATTGATAATTCTAGATTGCTTGGAACAGAACTCTCCCCGATCTATTATTCCATTATTAATAGGACGACTGAAAGTACTCAAACTTGACGAGCTACAATGCCATGGCCTCCATGTCCAAAATCTTCCATTACGTGTTGTAAATAATGCTTTCTCGAATTACCCTTCTCTATTTAGGTTTTGGGATATAGTAGAATCCCTTAAATAGTATAGACAAATGCAGTGTCAATCTGAAAGTTACAGAAAAAGAGGGTCTTTGAAATATCGCTAGTCGAGGGAACCATGCGTTGCCCCTCCACAACATAGCTATCATAATCATTAACAACCTTTAAGTAATGCCATTACTGACTGCTGAAAACTTGAGCTTGAAGGTTTCTTCTTAAAGTTGTCCCTGACCACAAGCAACAACCAATGCATCATTTCCCACTGGTACCCACACATTCTTGAATTACTTATTCCCTAACTATATTTCCTGCCTTGCAAAGCAATATCTCTGGATTTCCCTATCTTACCAATACAGATCAGCATTGAGGTTCTCCTCTCACCTTTAAATTCGTACCCTTTCACCTAACTATAACAACACTAAACATCTCTCCTCCCTCAATATATACTACACCCGGCCTCACCTCTCCCCACAATACAAATTCTTCCTCCTCACAATTAGCAAATAGTAAGTTAGAACACATTCAAAATTTTACATAACCTAGCTACAACGATGAGAAAGCAACTCCTCTCCCCATTCGTTCCTTTCTTGATGTTCTTCCTCTACAGCTCCACTACTTATGCTCAAGCCCCATCACCGGCACCTTCAGGTCCAACCAACATCACTGCAATCCTCGAGAAGGCTGGTCAGTTCACAACCTTAATTCGGTTAATGAAAAGCACCCAAGAGGCTGACCAAATCAACACACAACTCAACAATTCAAACCAAGGTCTAACAGTGTTTGCGCCAACTGATAATGCTTTCACTAGCCTAAAAGCAGGCGTACTAAATTCGCTGAGCGACCAACAAAAGGTCCAATTGTTGCAGTTTCACATCCTTCCAAATTTCCTTTCCATGTCAAACTTCCAAACTGTGAGCAATCCCTTGCGTACCCAGGCCGGAGATAGTGCCGATGGCGAGTTCCCGCTAAATGTGACAACATCAGGGAATCAAGTGAACATAACAACAGGGGTTAACACTGCAACTGTGGCTAATACTATATACACTGATGGCAAGCTAGTTGTGTATCAGGTGGATCAGGTCCTTCAGCCATTAGGTCTTTTTGGTTCAGCGGCAGCACCAGCCCCTGCACCTTCAAAGCCTGAGAAAGATGTTCCAGCCAAAGCTCCTGCAGGTTCCAAGGAAGATGCCTCTGTTGATGCTTCAGGTGCACCCATTGCAACAGTACCCTTCGGTATTGTGCTGATCGCAGCAATTTCATTCAAGCTATGAGTTTTTGTTTTTATTGTTCTGTTGTGATTTGAACTGAGTTGGACTATTCTTTGGTTACTCTCTCTCTCCTCTTTATGGAATGTACCATGATTGCTGAGATCTTCCTCATCCCCTCTCAACTTTGTGATTCTTATGTTCAAATATCTAGTTAAATCGCAAATAAAATTCTTTGATGCACCCCGCCTAGGTGTCGAGGAATTCTACCATTAACAGGTGAACCAAAAGCAATGACAATAGGATCACAGGATCCGCTAAAACCACAAAAACTTCAAAAACGATTAATAGACAAACAAAAAGCCTTCGTAGAGACAAAAATCCTGAACAGTGGATACAACTCAGAATACCAGACGCCTTTAATCATGAAAGCTAAAGCCATGTACAAGTAAAATACAGCCAGAAGTAGAGTTAATCTAAGCAGCTAAAACCATCTTCAATTGAAATTAAAGAGCCGGAAACAACAGCCTCGAATGTTGTTTGGATACGGTAGACCTAATTAGTGAAGTAAGTGCATGTTGGACTCATGATCAGGTTCCCTGGACATTTTCTGGGTTTGTAATTGATTCACTCGGCTATTTCCTTTGAATTTCTAAACAGATCCAAGACACGACTTTCCCCAAAATTTATTCGACCTGTTATCTCGGCCAATTTATTTCATCTGGTATTTCGGTCATTCATGTCTGAAGGTAAACATTCTTTCTTGTTCTAAGCCAAGGCTCAAATGCAAGATCATAGAAGAAGGGGGGAACTACCCACGAACAGGACCGATCAAGTTGTCAACTATAATCCGATGTTCGTTTACTACACTGCCGACCCCAATTACAAAACTAAATACTCGTTGAGAGATGTAAATATAATTGCTATAGACAAAAGTTGGTACCATGAAGCAAATACTGTAGGCACAAGCTCGGTCTGCTAAGGAGCCAAAAATAAAATAAAAGGAGAACCTCATACATGTCAAGGGTGATGGAAGCAACATGTAAATGAATCAAGACGATAAATTTCTCGAATCAACCAATACAAGTTCCAGAACCTGGAAGATTCTGGAAACAAAACTTTGTCAAGGAATACATGGATCACGTTACAAGCCTCTTTTAATTGCCTAAGATGTAGCTGTTAGTATTAGTCAAATTGGTGTTAGGACCGAAGGAAACAACTGCACTGGAATGACCTTCTGTATAAAAGAAACAAGAGAAAGTAATCCCTTTGTTTCACTGATATATCAAAAATGGAATTGAAAACCACCAGGAAAGCCTCCGTCAAATCCACCCCCACCCCCAGGAAAGCCTCCATCAAAATGAAATGAAAATTGCTGTCCACCACCGCCGAATGGGTTGAAACCGCCACCACCACCTCCACCCATACCCATGTCTTCTATGTCTTCTCCTCTATCATATCTTGCACGCTTATCCTCATCTGCAAGAACCTGTGGAGCACAACACAGGAGTCAGCCAAAGTATCCACCAAACCTTGAGCTTTATTAAAAGGGAAGACTTAGGACCATTTGGAAACCAAAAATTTCACAGGAAATTTTAATGATTACTGGCGAATTGTGAGTATTAAACAGAGACATATACAATGGGCAAACATAAAGATTGAAGGAGACAGAGAAAAAAAAAAAAAGTCAAAACAGTAAAAAATCACACCTCGTATGCAGCCGCAATATCTCGGAACTTGGCCTCTGCTTCTTCTCTATTTTCAACATTCTTATCCGGATGCCACTGCAAAGCAAGCTTTTTATAGGCACGTTTGATCTCAGATACAGATGCAGTCTTTGAAACTCCCAATATTTTGTACCAATCGTGGCGCTTACTCATCTTCAAAGCCTTCTCTGCCTTCATCAAGGCTTCCCGGATACTCATATCCTGGAAATATTTACAGATATGAGATGTGAAGCTCTAAACAGACGCACACATCCAAAATACCTAGGACATTTACTCTTTCTTTTCACTGTACTAAGGATTAACTAAATCATCTTCCAGTTAACACAATTTGCTTCTACTAATTTGCTTCAGTAGAATTCTGGTTCTCATTAAAAAATATCATCAAGAGAAAGTTGCTTAACCTCAACCATTTCATCATAACAAACAAACAAAAATTGATTATCAAGTTGTTTGAGCAACTACAACCGGAGAGAAAAAAATTCAATCCAACAAAGCAATACAGTTAGTAAATCAATATTGGAACTAGACTCCAGCAGCATAGTTGAGATGGAACTTAATGTAAAGAGAGTAGAAAAGATAACAGGTGAAGCTCAGGTCTGAGGATATTCACAAGACAGATGCAGTCAAATATAAACAACGAAACATACTTAAGATCCAACCTAAATTTATAGCACTTTTCCTTTTTATCGATGTTATGCCAGCAGACATTTGAAAAGTTATACTAGAAGAGAAGAAACATAAATGCTCAAAGTCATTGATGGCCTCACACCACCGACTGAATGTTGATTTTGTAAGCAATACCAGTCTGTTTTATTGCCACTGAAAGCAGCTTTGAAGCAGACTCTGACAAACCTCAGATGTCTTTGGTAAGTAAATTTACATATATTTGACAATTCTCCAGTGAATTGCATATTATGACTCACCTGAGGTGATTTTTGAGCTGCTGATTTCAGATCTTCAACTGCTCCTTCCCAGTCCTCCACTATGAGTTTAGCTTCACCTCTCTGGGGGAATGGGAGAAAAAGGGAAAAGAAACAAAGAGGAATATCCAATTTACGAACAAGAAGCCAGAATTACTAAACAGTTAAGGCAAAAGGGATAGTACACCGACAAAACAGCAGACCTGGACTAAAGCTTCAAGAAGCTCCTCATCAATATCGAGCGCTTCATTGCAACTAGTTAAAGCATCCTTACCCCTGCCAAGCTTAACCAAGACCTTACATAAGCCTAGATGAAGATCTACATTGTGTGCAAGGTGATCAGGGTCCAGTGCGAGTGCAGCTTTATAATCCTCTACTGCAACACGTAGTTTACCCTTGCTTGCATTATCTTCTGCCTGTTAAAGACATATCAAGTTCAAGAATAAGAACAAGTAACTTCAAATCGCAAGTAAAAATAGCCCTGTTAGGGCTTAAAGAATGCCAATTTACATACATAATCATACCAACATCCAACCATCAAAACTAAAAAGCAGGAACAAATAGAAAAGGAAGAAATTTAAGAAGTTTAGGGAATTTACACTTTTAGTTTTCTTGAGTAAATTTTTCAATCCAAAATATGCCTTCTTCAGTGCACTGTGCTCTGGATCAAGACGGAGACCCTTTTGGTAATGCCTGGAGAAGATTTAAGTACATAAACATAAAATTCGATTCCAGACAAATTACAAATTCTTTTTTAACAAACCAAATTAAAAGTTGCTGGGAAACTAACTTGGATGCAACATCATGATCTGCTAAATAGTAGTAGGCACGGCCACGAAGCAGTAGTGCCTCCAGATTATTTTCATCTTCCTTGAGAATATACCCAGACTCGGAGATGACAGCAGAGTAGTCTTTAAGTGCTAACAACAACTTTACTCTGAGGAGTTTGGCCTGCAATAAATAATGCATGTGGAGTCATTGCACTGACAGAGTACTTGAAATATCAAAGCCATACCCCCAACTCCGAATTAACACAGTACTGATATAGCATAATTCCCATGAGAATCATTATGAACAACACCTCAAAAGAAAAAAAGAAAAGAATGGGTGTCACCTCTGAGCATGCTGGAGAAAAAACAAGGACAATTTTATCTACATATTCCAGAGATTTTGCATAATCCCCTGAATCCAAGAGAGTCAAAGCAGTATCCAATGCACTCTGAGCCTGATGCAATTGAGAAAGTTCCTTCTCCGCAGTAGAATGTCCAGGTTTTAGCTCCAGAAACTTTTTGTAACTCATTTCAGATTCATCATATCTACATTAGCAAAAAAGCACCTGAGTGACTATCAGTTTCCAATTAGAAACTGAAAGGCCAAGGGAGACAAAGAGAGTTGTTCTACAGGCTTTTACAATATTTTGAAAAGGGGACGGTCCATATGAATCTAATCCTTAATTGCCAAACAAAACATGCATTTAATGAAAATATCAATTCAACAAAAAATGGTTGTTTTTACATAGTTACTCTCAGTTTGGTAGGAATATGAACGACGGGAGGATGGAAAAGGTAAAATAGAAAGAAAGAATTGATATCAACCCATCCATCTAGTTATTTTAGCTAAACTTGAAGGAAATAACAGAAGGTTGTTTTTACATAGTTACTCTCAGCTAGGTAGGAATATGAACGAGGGGAGGATGGAAAGGGTAAAATAGAAAGAAAGAATTGATACCAACCCATCCATCTAGTTATTTTAGCAAAAATTGGAGGAAATAATGGAAGCCAATTCACCCAAATACGACGGATCGTAAATTATTCTACACAAGTCATGAAGGATGGGACGGATTCCTCCCTTCCTTCTCTGAGTTTGTCCTCATCCATCTAGCAAGGAAAACACCCTATCCTTCTCCACTCTACTTCCTCCACCTAACAGATTTTCAAGGCCACATTACAAATTGCACTTAATGTTACACTTGGCAAACAATCTACCAGTGTTCCCAGGTCGAATGGTTTTGTTTTTGTTTTCACCCAACAATATCAAGCTTAAAGATTCAAATAAACTAGTCCTGTAAACGAACTAAAATATTCAGGGGGAAAAAAGAGAGAGGATTAATGAATGAAGAACCTGCATAACTGACGAAGAATGGAGGCACGACGAAGATAAGCTCCAGAAAGAGAGGGATCTGCCTCAATGGCAGCATTAAGGTCATCAAGTGCATCACTGTAACGCTTAAGTTTTATACTTTGAGAAGCCTTTTCAAACAACTCCGCGGCATTTCCAGCTTTCGTATCTACAAATTAAAGTTCAAAGCATACAGCATTATCCACATAAAACCAAATCAATATCAAGAACCAACCTCACCACAGAAAACGTAGGCATTAATTTTGCCAATAAAATTAAATTGCATACCCAAAAATATAGTTTAACTAACTATAAAGTTCAATAATTTAACTGAAAAATCAGCTATTTAAACGGAAACATAAACATAATAATAATGATGATGATGATGAACTAACCATTCAAAAAATAATAATTTTACTGAACAATACTCACTTCCTAGATGCATGCATAAAATATAAATAAATAAATTGGAAAAAAGAGAGGTACCTGAAGCAGAAACAAGAGGTTGGAGAAGTAAGAAATGACAAACAAAAACAAAATGAAATATAAAAATTGTAAATCCCAATCCTCTCCAAGCCACGCCATCCATGCTCATCATCACCACTTGATTCATTATTTTCAATTATTGTCTCAATAAATAACAGAAATTACAACAGAATGATCATAAAAAGACATCCATAAAGTAGTGTTTGATTATCGAGTAATACCTAACAATATCTCAATTTTGGTTTCGGTGTTTGGAGTTTGGTATTATAATTGAAGAACAACTCGAAGAACTCAAAATTTAGAGAAGGGAAGCGTGCGGGGATTCGCTTTGTCATTCCACGTACTTCTGCCCTATAGTTCGCTTACATGTGGATTACGAAGGGAGTCTAGTGAGCATTCTTTTCGACACCTGTCAATGCTCAGCCAGTAAGTTTCTGCCACGTCATGAATCATGAATGTAATAACATTTTGGACCTTGGCCCCGAGAAATAAGGAGGGCTTGGATTGACATAAGAATGTAGCCCATTTAAATATAATGAATGGGCTTCCATGGTTGTATATTTATGTCTTTTGGGCTGTGGGTTGTGGTTAAGTGCAACTGATGTAAAGAAGTCCGCATAGGTAATCACAAAGGAGAAATGCGTTTACAATTTGGTTTGTTAAGTATTCTTTTTCGATTAATATGGGGCCTGAAGGCCCAGACAAAACAACTAGGAAGACTATCTACAATTTCTGAACTCTTCGACTCCTTTAAACTCCTTACACAGTTGATCCCTGTTTTTTTTTTTTTCTACGGTAAAAAGTATGTGTAGATCAATTTACTTTAATCAATATTAAATTTGTTTTCTAAATGATTTTCAGTAAGCACCTTTATGATAATCGATCTCTTATAAACCCAGGAGGATATAGAAATCAAAGTGCAACTGCATGATTCTCCAACTCTGCTCCTTGATTGGCTAAGCTTCTCTGCAAACATGGTTCATCTTTACACGCCACTATCGTTGGAGAAGTATCCCAATCTCTTTCGTATTCATTCCACTGTTCTGTTAAGTTTGAAATTCTTTTATGGTGGAAAGAACCAAAAAAGATACATGTAATATTATATTGGAGTATAGATTTTTGGCTAGCCAAGTCATTTAAGTTTTGAACCATACAATTCATCATCCGTCATTTTCTTAGTTTTTTCACATCTCATCTGCCTAGAGATGACAAACGCTTGGGTTTTCAATGTATAATTGATTCAATTTTTTATTCTATCTATTGGGGAAAAAAAAATCATGTCTATGTCTATTAAGAAATTATTCTCTAAACTCATACACATTTCATACTTTGTTTACCCCTGTTAAAAATAATTTATCAAAATATTTATATTAGTTGCTATAATTTTTTTTTAAAAAAAATATTTTAGTCTTTAAATTAATTTTTCTCACAATTTGACCCTTCATTTATAAGTTGTTTTGCCCCTCAAATTTACCTAAAACATTTTGACCTCCACTTTATAAAATTTATACAATCAAGTTCTTATATGTTTATTTTTTTTATAAAAAATTATTAAGTATTAGTAGAGTATAAAATGGTTACCCATACTCGAATGTTCTATTTTAAAAATATGTATTTTTTTTATTTTATTTTCACTCGTCTCATTGCCTAGTAGGTATTTTTAATGGATAATTATTAGATCATGTAAAATAGATATGGACTTCATATCCAATCTATTGTCATTTTTACACCTAACCATATATATATAACACGATTAGAATTTGAGATCTCTAACAGATAAATTCCAATTTTTGAGGATTGGAATGTCCTTTGAACATCACATTTTCCATTTCTAAAGACAAACTAGTTTGTTTGGAACTAAAATGTCAAAGATAAGTGAGGTTATAACATATAATTTATAATATTCTTTAACTTATTTTTTTGAGTGAAAAGTAATTTAGATATGAAACTTACACATATCCACCACAACCTCATATTTAATTATTTACTTTTAATTAGAAGAGAGAATAATAGAATTCAAATTTGTGATTGTTTGGTTGTTAAGACTTAATTTAATACCATGTTAAAAAATTATTTCAACCCAAAAAAAAAAACTATTGACTATTGTAAAATAATTTATATTATTCTATAACAAAAAAGTCATAAATCTATATATATATATATATATAACAGACGTTGTAACTACAATAATATGCAACAAATTCTGGTTTACTAATTTCTAAAATTCAAGGCATAGCTCTTGAATAGGAAAATAAAAAGTGATCTTTAACCCTACAAGATCATTTTTGGTATAATTGAAGGCATTAATTATGATAAGAAAAATAATAAGTTCATTTTTGAAAGCTAATATATAAAGGTTTTTTTTTTTTTTTTTTTTTGCTATACGCATCTATGTGTAATTGGATAAGAAGACATTGATCAGTAGAAAAACTAGTAGACAAAAAGACAAGAAAAAAAAAATGCAAACACATGAATGAATATGTCTGATCTATTGTTCATGATAATAAATGGTCTAGTTTAATAACAATTTTTGCCTTTGAACTGTTGACAGTGTGGTACATTGAGACCTGGACAATCAATTAATATATTTTAAGTTCTGATTTCGTGTTACACATTAGACCATACAAATATTTTAAAAATTATAATAGGAATAAATAGATAAATATATATACATGATTTTTTCACGCCTTCAAAAACATTAGGATACTTGCAATTTTTTACAATTTTATAACTATTTAATGTTTTTTTAAAAAAATTTCCTGATCTAAAAAATATTTGAAATTATTTTTGCAATTAAGTAGATTGAATAATTATTAGCATAAGTAAAAAATTTTAATTCAAAACACTATAAATTAAATTGTTTTAAAAGAATTTTGGATCAATGATAACGGTCAAATCAAACACAGAGATAGTACTTATTGAAAATATAATTTAAATATAAAAACAACTAAATTGATAAATCAGATCTTAATATGACAAAACCCATAGTTCATAGGTAAAAAAATGTCATTAAACCTCCATGGCGCTAATAGCTAGGGATCTCAAATTGGACACCTTTACAAACACTCCTCATGATGTGATTAGCTTATCATCCATTAATTAAGGCCTCCAATGCATGGTGGATTACAAATCAACTCCAACAAAACTATATATACTGGCTCTCCTTATTTTAGATATTGAAATCAACTGCACAAAGTAAGCAGGTAGCCATCGGTTTAGCCCATTAGTGTAAATTATCAAATTTCATAAAGGTGATGAGTTAATTAGTTAACGATCGAGTTTACTGATCTCTCTTGTTGTTGGTCTTAGGGCCAAAACCAAGTATCTAAGTAGAACGCATTGAATTCATTTATTTTTGTGCTTTAAAACCACATTATAACGCATTGGATTACTCCTAGAAATTTCACGAAAAAAAAATAATAATACTAATTTCGATAGCATCCTATGCATGCAAGACCAATATTTGGTTGTCCAAAACTGGTTCGATGCTTGTGCAACATCCCATGAAGAGTACTGAGAGATTGTCATTTTGTAACAGTTTTCAAACTCCAAAGGTGTAGCCCTCCCAGGTCTCAAAAAGATGGTCGTGACAAGTACCAATAAAAAGGTAATACTCATTACAATAAAGTTTCTCTCATTCAAAGCTAGCTTCTAAAAAAATACACACCTTTTGTGTTGATATACATATAATAATTTATAAATGGGGAACTGGTAAGAAGGTAACTAACATATATGTATGTATCCTAGTTACTAAGAATGACCATTTCATCTCCTTGCAAATGTTTATTATCAAAAGGCATTAATGGAAAGTCAAATATGTGCTGCTGCCTATAGCGACCCAGCAACGGTTTATTTTGGTTAATAGTGCACCATAGAGTATAGGAGGCACACCCGTACAATAATGGTCCCCTTTAAAACTGTCTGAAAGAGACCTTTGTTGCCAGCTTTCCAGGTTGCTAAAAGAAGGGAGAGAGAGAGAGACAAATAAGATGTGTGAAGCATGGAAAATGGGCGCGTGAGGGCGGGCATAGACATAGACATACATATATATATATACACACGTATAGTTTCCCAACGATCTTAAATAAGTTTTTCCATTAATAGGTCATTGTACAGGTTTAATTATTTTAATTGAGATCTTTTATAATTTAACAGTTTTATTAAAAAAATTTATGCTTATAAATTTATCAATCGAGACTCTCTGTTATAATGTTATTAATTATTCATCATACGCGATAAATTAAAACTAATGATAATCAATCGGACAATGACAAGTGAAAAATTTGTTTATCTATATTTTTACATATTAGTTCTTGATTGACACGTGAAATGAATAGTTAACAGGATTATAACGGAAGAACTCAATTAATAAATTTATAAAAATAAAAAGTTTTAATTAAACTAAAAAATAATAGAGTTTTCAATCAAATAAATTGGAACTACAGAGATCAATTATGAGATAAATTCGATCTTAAATTTAAACCACAAATATCGTCTAATTAAAATGGTTTCTTTTAAGTAGATTATATGTTGATGAGATTAATTATCTTCCTGTTTTGATTAGAGAAGTACCAATTGAAGAAAGAAAAGGTCTAATGGCGTGGCTGACTAGTTAGGAGAGAGGTTTACAGCTGGTTAGTGGTTCAAACCCAGGCTTGCCATCGTGCAAAAATTCCCCACTTCCCTTCCATCTTTGTAGGCTATCGGTCTGGCCTCCTAGGTCAAGCGGTAATTGTTTGAGAACAAGTAAATAGTATTAGCTCTCTGATTTTCTACATCTTTTAACTTTTTTTTCTCCCATGGGAAATGTATCACTAGCTGGTCTAACAAACCTTTGGGAATTCCTTGGGTGGTTGGCCGAAATTGTTAGGTAGACTATAAGAATTTTCATTCTCAATATATATAGGAATTATAAATTGATAATGATTTTTTTTTATTTGGAAATGAAAGGGGTCTAAGCCCGAAAAACACAAAACTAAACTAATTTAGGAAATACAGTTCAAATAAGATCATAATACAAAATAGCAGTCAAGCAACTGAAGGATTATCCAAACACGAGACTCCCAATTCTCAGGAAATGCCAAAATTTGCTAGCGATCTGCAGCATTGTTGGCTTCGCCAATAGGAATTTCCATTCATTTACCTGAGTCAATTATTACTTTTCAATAAAAAACATGCTTGAGATAACTATTAATCAATCAATTAATTCAATGTTCGCCTTGCTTCAATTAATAAGCATCATCTACGATATATTTGCAATAAATGGCGAAATAGAAGCACAGTAGTACATGATCAGAACCATGCATTACATTTACTTCATAAAAATTCACGTCTATTTTCTGAGATTTAGGGCTATAAAAATGGGATTTGGACCCACACTTGTACATATAACACTAGATTAACTCTCATTGCCGAAGATAACTTGCCATGGAGACTAAACCATGAATTCCATTTAGTCAATGAGGAATTTTCACAATCCCATCATGATGTTGCCTTTGACAAATCATTCTTCTTTTTCTTGGCCCCTAAATTTCCTCTTAAGCTTCCTTAGGCCGTAATCAACCCTAGGAGAGTCTTGGAAGATCGAGTCCAGCTAGCCACACGCAGTACCTAGCTAGCTAGATTCTACCTAGTTAGAAGAGATCCACTACAATACACATGCTTGATCTTAGCTTACAAAAGATCAGAGAGACGTGTAAAGCCTAATCTCTCCAAGACAAATTGATTATTATTAACACATTATTATAGTATACTATATATTAAACAAATTGAACACCAACTTATAACTTTGGTTCCTTGTTTTTTGATTTAAACTATACTAACAAAGACTTGGTTTTTCTTTCTTTCAAAACCCACCAACGTTGACGAGGTTGCCGGTTTATGTTGACGATCAGTCAACGATGTCTCGTTGTTTCCGTGCCCTTCAATTTCAATAAAGAAAGGAAAAATGACCCAAGTAGGAGCATACGATAAGAGAGTCGAGACACAAAATAACACAACAAGAAGAAAATAAAAACAACAAGAAAAACAAGGAGAACATGCATGGCTTGGAGTTTTTCATTGTTTAGTCATTTTCTGAGATGCTTCATGCACCGGGCCACCATCATTAGTCTCACTTATCATCCCCATTCACGAGCTGCCTTGCCTTCCACGACCGATTCTACCGAGCCCACTCGGGCGTTCTAGCCTCATGTTTGTAAAGGCCGTACGTATGCCATGCAGTGTGCAAGACCATCAAGCATCAAGGATTGACAGTGAAATGGTTCAAGTTCATGGCTGAACTAATTGAAGCAAACTTAGCTAAGTCTTGTGGTGAAAATGGACGACCGGATTCACTACTCATACCAAGAAAATCTCTTGTTAAACCGCTCTCGATAGAATTTGAACCCCTTTGAAGCTTCAACTGAGTCGAGTCATTTTGTAGCTTTCCACTTGTTTGCATCACAAGTCGATCAAGATTGCTTGATGCACCCATCATTTCATCACTCATTGCAACACTATTTGTTCTTGTTAGCCTCTCGGCTTGTTGCTTAACATTTTGAAAGACTTGGTGTAGCTCGTTTGGATTCTGGTTGAGAGAGATGGGGTTTGTTGTAGGAGAAGAAGAAGAAGAGCTCATTAGTCCATAACTGTTGCCAAAGAAAGATTGATTGCTTCTTGTAGAACCCATTTGAGCTGCCTTTTGTAGAAGTGCAGTGGCAGACATAGGCACTGCAGTCGGCTTTGATTGCTTGTTTTGAATACTATCAGAATACAAAGAAGCTGATGTATCCACCATATTTGCTTTGTTACTACCTTCTTCCTTTAGCCCATGAGGCAGTCCAGATAAGGTTAAATTCCCAAAATTGCCTGTGGATGATGAACCATAGAGATTGGCTGATCCCATGTGCACCAACTCAGGCAAACCACTAGAACTCGAAGGCACGTAAAGATTTGAATTGGGACTCATCTGTGAATTAGCCTGATCTAGCCACAGAGAAAGTCCAGGCTTTTGTTGATCAGCTCCAAGAGAATTTCCTGGAGTCATGCCACTGAAATCAGGTCCAAAACCTGCACCGAATTGGGGAATGCCTCCGATATCTGGAGCTCCCGGGCGGTTAGGATAACCATGAGGCAAATTTACTGTATCATTTCTGAAATTTAGATTTGTTGCTGGAACTGAAGTGATTCTTGCACTTTCTTCAGCTAAGGCATCACAAAAGGCTCTGTGTGTGATAAAGCTATCTTTCCTGTTTTGGTATATATAAGAGAACCCAATTCAAAATTTGATAAATCAGCACTTATTATTACCTAGTATACTCATAAATGAAGTATATATCATTTAATTCAAAATCACAGGGTTAGCATTTATTTATTTCATCTGGTGCTTAATAAATGACTGACAATCAAGAACCAAGTGTGCATGTATATATAGTCTTAATACCTGGAAAATAAAGTCCCACAGTCACATTTATACTCTCTAGTCCCACAGGTCTTGGAGTGAGCTTTCCAGTCTGATTGAACTGCATACTTCTTTGAGCATTTCTCACATTTCCACTTCTTCTCCCCATGTTTTCGGCTAAAGTGCTTCTTTATGCCAGTTAGGTCTCCGAGAGCTCTAGATGGATCGTGGTGAACGCAGGTCTTTTCTGGACAAATATAGACCTTCTTTCGTACCTCTTTGTTGGTCCTTTGCTTTAGCTTCCATGGAAGATTGTGACCTCTTCGGTGAAGTTGCAAGTTTTGGTCTCTTTGAAATCCTTTATTGCATATTTCACATATGAACCGGTTTGTAGCCATGAGAGTCTTTGGAGATAAAGCAATAACCTCAGCATCTGGATCTGTTAAGGCACATAAACAGTTTCTTTGACTACTATTATTCAATTAAAGAAAGTTTTGTACGTATGCAAGAACTAAGAGATGAGTTACCAAGAAAAAGAAGAAATTAAGCATGCTTACTTACCTGGTGTTCCGGGTAAATTTCTTTTCCTCTTGGCCGCCACTGAATTAGGATTAGGTTTAGAGTTAGGGTTTGCATTATTCTGCTCTTGAGCAAACCCTGCTAGTGAAGAGGGTAGTGAAAAAGCATCACCAGACATCATTTCTACCTAAATTGAACCAAACCCAACAAGGCAACAAAGTTTTCGGAAAAGGATAAAAACCATACAAAAACAAAAGAAAGCAAGAGTTTCTCCAAACACAAACAGCTAGCTCAATGTTTAGTATATTCAAACACTGACTTCACTCTTTAGCTAATTCTGCCAAAAGACAAGAAATACGCAACTCAAGCTTGAATCTAAACACCCCCACTAAAAAAAATATAGTCCAAATTAACTTCGGACTCTTCTTACAGAGATCTGGTTTGCTTTTGTTTGATTTCAAAAGAAAAAACCAAAACCGGGATGAGTGAAAGAGAATATCTCTATCTTATTCTCTAACGCCTCTCTCTCTCTCTCTCTCTCGTTATCTTGGCCTTACTTGTCCCTTTTTTTATCTTGCTGAAAGTCGGTCAGCCATATATTTCAATAATATTGGGCCACACACCTCTCTCCCTCACACGCACACAGTACGCATCGCTCCTACACACACGATGGCAAATGGTAAAAAATGGAACGTGAGAGAGAGAGAGAGAGAGAGACTCAGTTTGTGCTACTTTGAATAATAAGAATGTGTAGGATTGTGTGTCTTTTTGTAGCCTTTTCAGCTCAAACTCCAATTATCAGCAGGAAAAAGAAAAAAAGTAACTACAATAGTAAAAGAATGATTTGTAATAAAATGGATAAAATCTTTTATGGTCCCTCTATTTTTTATTTTGTACCAACTTTTCAATTCTAGTTTTATATGTCTTAATGTCTTTTATTTATTTTTAAAATTGTTTTGGTTAAGTTTTTGTAATTGATGTCGATAGTTTTCAGCCACTCCATTTGTAACCAACTTAATTTGCTTACAAGTGTCCATATCAATTTTTTTTTCCTTTTTTCATTTTCGTTTTCTTCTTCTTCCTCCTCTCTCCCCCTTTCTCTCTACCATGGTTGCCATCTTCTTCTTCCTCCACTCCCGTGCACCACCAAAATCCTCGTCTCTCCAGCACCATGGCTCACTACCAAACTTCTTTCTATCAGTGATTTAACCCCACAAGAAACAAAAATTTGCGTCATAACTTGTTGGAATAAACTAACATTAATACGAGCCAATTTACTGCAAATTAACAAGTTAAGAATAATTAGAAATGGGTTTACTTGAGATACATTGTCCTCTTCATTATTAACATAATTAGTAATTATCAAGCCATCGTATATATTCTTCGACACCTTCCTTTCTAAGAACAAAGGAAATTCCAATACAAAATACATTTTCAGCAAACTTATGATATTCTACTCTTGTCAGTTGCTCATCAAACATATATGTAGGAAGGTGGTAACTTGAAAAAGTGTGAAACTTTGAGCAGAATTAAGAGAAGAGATGGTGTGACGACAAGGTTGGATGTGGCGGATGGTGAAATTGCAGCCAGAGATGATGCCGAGAGATCTCTTGGACACTAACTTGAATTTCAAAAGGATGATTTTGAAAAAGACTATTTTGGTGGTGGAGGAAGAGAGTGAAGGAAGCAGAAGCTGACATCCACGGTGGAGAAAGAGAGAGAGAGAGAGGAGGAGGAATAAGAAAAGGAAAAGAAAAAAAAAAGGAAAATTTTTAATAAAAACAAAAATTAGATTTGCATGAGTGGCACCAAATTGAGTTGATTACAGACTTGGTGACCAAAAACCATAAATATCAGTAAAACAAATCTAGACAATACGATTTTTAGGAATTAAAAAAAAATATTGAAATAAATAAAAGTATAACAAGAAAAGTAATTAAAAATAAATAAATAATAGAAGGATTCACAAAAGCTTTTAACGGCAATAAAATAGTAGTACCAATGTACTGTAGTGTATATTAATTAACTAGTAAAAGTAAGGTGATGCATGGGTGCATGAAAGTAAAATAAAAAGGTAATTAATGGGATTATTGGTTTAACTAAGAGCTGATATTGATGATCTCATGAAAAAGAAGGATTGAAAAGTTGTTTGCCTTTACAGCCCATGAACAGATATTGAAATGATTATACCATAATTAAAATTGAAGACCCAAAATTAGCATACGTACAGTGGGTAGAAACAGAATCAGAGACAGCGCAGAATGTGTTTGGTGACAGAGAAAGAGAGAGAGAGAGGGTTAGTTACGTTTCCCTAGGCAACGCATTTGATAGGACCGTCCGTGATACACTGTCTCACTGAGAGGGTGACTTTGTGGGCCCAAGCTAAGACTGTGATACCGATCATCATCATCATCATCATCTTTTTCTTCAATTAGTCATCCCAAAAAGTTATGAGCGCAAGTGGGCTAGCTCCTGTGACAATGTAAATGCGAGTACTACTTCACTGTTTTAACTGGGATTGATTGCTCACGCCATCCTGCAACTGTGTTCATTTGTGACTACTACTGTATAATTTGAGGTTGGTGGATAGGTTGAATGTTTTCTATTTTCAAGGACACTGAATTTATTTGTTGCAAAATGATTTGATATGTAAACCGGTTTAATCTCATTTGTCCATTATAATGGGAGTACAGTATGCAATCCAGGAATAAAAAAAATATATATATATATTTGACCCATTTTTATGCAATTCTTTCAACGTATGGATTACATGCAGCAGAAAAACTTTGTTATCAGGTGTTTGGTTTGGTACAGTTTTCCTTGTCAAAAGAAGCAAGAATTACTTTTTAGATGATAACACGTACATTTGGCCCAGATTGAAAAGTTTCTTCCATCCTCTTATATACAAAGAAGATGCTTTTTTCCTCCTTTCTTAGAAAACAAAAAGTTTAATCCCTAAAATAATAATAATAATAATAATAAATTTGCTTTCATCCTTTTTATAGATATAACTTTTAACATATTTAAATGTTTATCTCTATTTTTCTAATGTAAAAACATTATTGGCTCCTCCAAACCCTTCCATTCTGGATTCATGCCCGGTTCGTACAATAAGGCTGGACTCCGTTCATATTTTTAATGTTTTTTTTTTTTTTTTTTCTATCTAAACTATTGAACGCTAGCTATATGTTCTTGTTTACATCGGAGATCGATTAGCCAACCATTGTTAGACACATGGACACGCAATTTTATATTCATGAATTGCACTTTCCTAGCTTTACTAAACTATAGGTATTTGACAGCGTAAATTACGATAATAAGTATGATGAATTAGCAAGGAATGTGGTATACTGATTAAACAATTGTTTTGATTTGACTACTATTAATGTTGAATTCTTATTATTTGAATATAATTAGTAATAAATATTATCCTTTAATATTATCAAATTTGGATTAGTGTTTGGTCTAAAAGATAATTTAGTCATCGATTAAAATTTAAATGTGTTATGATATTGGTTTAGTTTTTATAAATATAACCTTAATTTCGATTAATGTAAAAATTAATTGACATATTAATTATATGTAAATATAAAGAAAAAAATATGGTGAATGGCTTCTGTCCCTTTTTCTTAATTTGTTTGCCCAAGAATTTCCAAACAATTAGTCTCTGTTCTTGGTTTTTTCAAGTTGGGTAATTATGACGGCCGCACTAATGCCTATTTTGTTAGCTCAAATTGACTTTTATGTCCAGACAATTTGATCTGCTCCCATCTCCATGATAATCAGTCATGAGACCTAATCAAGCTGAGTTGATCTGTTGATGAGTCCTGAATCATGCACATGATGCCAAACAATTGTGCACTAATTAATATCATGATTAAACATTTTAAACCAGTACGTAGATAATATCTCTTCATCAGTGAATATACTTAAGAAATTACAAGGATGCATGTACTAAATTTAATTAGTCGACTTTGTAAACTAATCTTGAAATACATTATATATAATTGCTAGCTCGGACCACGTGATTTCTAATCCTTGGCACAGCTAAAACTATATATATATTAGTGAAAATCTAGCTTCAGGTACATTTTGTGTAAAATCATCATCACGTGCATTTCATTCGATGTGTACGTACTACTCGATAAATAGTCCACAGCTAACGCATATGGTTTTTATTTTCAAATCCAGTTTTGGTTTAACTCTCAAAAAAATTAAAAATTAAAATCGAAAAATCAACGATATCCTTTAAATAAAGGGCACAAGTTAAATTAAACCAAGTGGTGGAAGGGGATATCATAATTTATATGATCTTTTTGTGGGCAGAAAATTGAGATGAATATGAGCAGAAAAACATTCATAATTAATTCTACCTCTACAGGGGTTTGTATTACCTTTTTAATTTGTTTTGATTTATATGTCGATTTAGCTTCAATTAGATTTTTAATCTAACTGAACATTATTTGTATATATATATATATATATATATATATATATATATATATAAAATAACTCAACACTAATTAATTGGAGCTATATATGGAAGAAATTAAAGCTAGGTGAAAATTCATGTGAGAAGTATATACCCTACACGCTTGAAGATGTCTTAGTCTGAGCTGACTTTGAGCAGACTCATTGTTTCATTTGTCATAATTCAATAATAATACTGATGAAAATCATATGATTAATTATAATACAGAACAAATTATTATATGTACCGTTTTGGCTCCATGCATACGGAGTTTCCTCCAAAACAATTGATACTCCCTCATTCCCCATTTCGGTATCCAAAGCTCTGATCATCTCTACATACATATATATAATTTTACATCTGGAACACACAAAAATAAATTCCTAGCTAGCTACTCATTACACATGCAAACGTCTGTACCGATCACAAAACACCATGTGTTAGTTGGCAATATATATATATACAATAAAATCAATTAGGGGCAGCTAATTCCGCGGTGATCAGGGAGAGAATGAGTTCATATATTATGTGTCCGACCAGATACGACACCGCTCGCATCTACCCATTGCACACATACCCCATCTGCCCAACCGTATTACACGTAGAGAATGCCTCCTCTCTTTCTTTATTAATTCTCTCTAGTCTAATCTCTGGCTTGCTTTTGCATACCAATTTTAAATTCAATGAGGATTAATTAAAGAAATCTTGAA